ATCGATGAATAGTTGAAAGATAGAGAACAGTAGTCATGTTGTTCGAGATTGCGTAGACGGTTCACCTCGTTTGGATACGAGATCGAACGACAGACTTGAGATTCAGATTCAATTGGTGCTCGAGCGAGACGCCATCAACATCGTAGTGATCAACGATTTGGGGTAGTTGACGTTCACGCTGTAGGAAGGTTCGCAGAATAAAGCCGTACTTGGGTTGAGTTTAGTTTTCTATTTTAGACGATTTTTTCTATGAACGTTGGGTCTCATGACCTGCGCTGTGTAGCTGCAAATTCTTGCTACCGTGTTGGGGGTTGGACGGTGGCTATTTGGACGGTCATGTACTTGTATCTGCCGTTGTCTGCGCGCGCAAACTGAGATCTGAGTTGTAGAGGACGCGGTCGGTGCGTTGGGCTTGGATCGCGACACCGCACTGTTGTTGCAGCAGCGGCATAAGCTGCGTAAGGACGCCGTGCACTTCGTTTGGCGACAGATCGTACAGCCGGAAGGGTCGACCAATGCCAGTACCTCGCTTCGCATGATGAAGCCAATCGGTGAGCCCCATGACGTCCGCTTCGGACGCAGCATGGTAGACTTCCTTGAGGCGTCGAATAGGCTCCGTCAATGTACGCTTGTCTGCGCCAAGAGAAATGGAATGATGCTTCGGATATGCGTAAACTGTACCGAGTGGCGTGGATTGATTTTCAGCAGCGTTGTCGTTGGCTCCAGGAAGCGTCAGGATTGTGGGGCGCTGGAGCCACGAGAGAGGCTGCTGGTTCTTCAACTCGTTGAGAAGCTCCAGCACGTGGTCAAGTGTTTCAGCCAAGCGCTGCGTCTCGTCGTCAGATCTAGATTCTGGTTCGTCCGTCTGGTTGCTGGGCACGACCATGCATACGTGCAATGCGACGAGACGATCGCGCAAGTCATGGCTGATCGATGCTTGTCTTTGGGCCTCGGCCAAAGCATCTTCGAGAGCTGCGATGTTCTACACAGGAGCGTGTTAGCGCAATACATGAACTTGCGACAACTTGTTTGAGGTGCTCCGTGGACTCGCGCATCGACGCCAAGACCGCACGTTCCTCGATCTGCTCCTCTTCCAAGCCACTAAGGCGTGCCTTGTTGCTATCGCTCTGCGCTCTCCAGCTCTCGCATTGGGCCGTGATGCTCTCGGCCTGCGCTTGCAGGTTCTCGATCTGGTGTTTCTGGTCCTCAATCTGGGTCTTCAGGTCTTCGATCTGGGTCTCTTGGTCCTCAATGGTTCCCGTCGCCGCAGCGTACTTGGTCTCCACGTCACGAGACGCTTCCAGCTCGGCGGCCAGGCTGCGCAAACGAGCTTCGTACGGTGCCATGACGCTGGCAACGTCGATTGGTGGCGATGGCTCGGGTGCCACAATCGCATGGTTTGAGCGTCGCTTCTCCGCCAGTAGACTCGGGTTGCTCGTGCGCCGCTCCTTCTTCTCGACAACGTACCGGCGTAAACTCGTCTCGGCGTGTACGAGGCGGTTCTCAAGCTTCATGGCCTCGCGCTCGAGGCAAACGCACTTGTCGTTGAGCCGCGCGACCTCCATCTGCAGCTCCTTGTTGGTCTTGAGGAGGAAGTTGACTTCGTAGATAGCTTCGCAGCGCTGTTTCCAGCACAGTTCGTGTTTGCCCGCCCAGTCGTCGCACTCGAGGCGCGCGGTCTGAAGGGCCGCCTCGAGTTCGTGCACGGTGGTTTGCAGTGCTTCGTTGGAGGCCAGGAGCTGCAAACCGGCGTGCGCCGCTGCGTGCAAGTCTCCGAGTGAATCTACGCATTCCCATACGCAATCAAGGGATCCTGCAACGAATCGCACCCACCTCGGCGCCCGTCACTGCTCAT